ACACAACAAGCGAATTTTGGTTGCAATATAAAAATTCCCCTTTACCAACTTTTTTTTTAAAAATTATTGTTACAAACGCCATCTGTCGTCACCATTTATTGAACAAATCTATCTTCATATTTGAATAATGAACCATTGACTTCGGGAACATAATCGATTTATAATTATAAATTTTTTTTTACATTCGAGAAAGATCGTTGGACCAATTCAAATTTAATTAATTAATTTAGCCAATTAGCAAAGCGTAAATTTTGTTTGCAACAATCTATATTGAAATAACACTTGTAATCAATTAAGTGTACAAATGGAGAATATTTTGGTAGAAGCATCTTTTGCAAAAGCAAATAAGTCATGGTTAAAAACTGCTAAAGATCCAGAGTCAAGATGTTACTGGTTAATTAGCCATTATGGAAAAGCACATTCATTGTTTTTCGCAGTATATTTTGGACCAAGTTTCATTAGTGTTGACTTGGTAGATTGTGCATTGAAAAACGATGCGATATTGTCGCGATATTTTCTTCAAGTACTTATGGAATGCTATGGGGAACCCGACGAAAGATTAAATGAGCTTAGGTCTAATCATAGCAATAGTAATAATTTAGAGAGACACTTTGAAAAGTTGTGGGGCTCGGATTTACCATTAGATGTCTATAAAAAATTATTAGCAGAAGGAAAACGTAGATGGAATGGAGAATTTTATTTAAAGGGTAATGATCTTGATAGGTTTTGTTCCTTGAATAAGGATAATGCGGATAATGCAGATAATGTATTAAATGACATTAAAGTTTTGATTTTGGACAAAAAATTCATCCCAAATCCAAGGAAACCAAAAATTTCATATAAAAATTTTATTGATTTCGAGAAAAAACAATCTCAACCACCACTATTACCACCACCACCACCATCTCAACTTTTTGGAGGATCTGCTCAGAGAACTGATGCATTTGAAAGTGAAGAAACATTGATAATGGTGTCTAAGGCAATTATTGCTCACCCAGAATTAGTTGACATGTGGAAAGGAATTGGTTATGAGACAATTTGTTATGATTATAGTGATCTGGTTTTCCAGATCTTGTATACTGATGTTGCTACTTCCGAACATCTTACATCAGAAACAATTCTTGCACAATCACAACCTTTCATCAATCTAGGATTCAAGTTAACAAAACCAGCAATGGTTGATATAATTTGCTCCTTTAAAGACAGATTGAATGAAATTGGTGGAATAATCATAAAATCTTTTCAAAAGATTAAAAATAAAAATAAATCCACCATTTTAGAAGAATGCTTGTTTGAAATCATTGGAGGTGGAGGGAGCTTGGAGAAAACCACCTGTGTTCTAGATTTTTTATTTCAACAAATTGAAGGAAGTCCAGAAAATATTTTTCTAAAAATTTTAAAACATTATAAAATTGGAGAAACCAATGTTAGAAATGTTAATGTCAATGATGAAAACTTGGAACACTTGAAACTTTTTTCATTTGATTTGTGTATTTATCAATGGATATTGGAAAATTTCAAGCCTTATCCAATCATTATATCAAAATGCTTTGTTGAAATTTTATTAACTAAAAGTTATTTTGATTCAAATTCTTCAATTTTAACAAGTAATCCTGCCAGTTTCTCCTCTACTTCAAAATTACCACAATCAATTTATATTTCATATATAAAAACATACTGTAACTACTGCAATTATCATTATGCTAATAATGTTTCTATTGTTAATCAATCCATTTTTCAAGAGATTTTTCAAAAGATTTTTGCAAGTTTTTTAAGATTTTTAGGGTTTTCATAAGATTTGTTTTTTTTTATTTTTTTTATTTTACTTATTTGTTATTTTATATTTTTTTTATTTTACTTTTTTATTTGTAATTATAATTTATATTTTTTATATGTATTTATTCTGAAATAATTAAAAAAAACTTTAAAAACATAAACAATTAAGACTGCAACATATCCATTGTTGACTGATCCAAATACTATATTTATAAATAAAAAATATGAGTTACCAGTATATACACTTACACAGATAAAAGTCGTGCGCAACAATTAAACAAAAACACCGTTTTGTAGCTTAGGTTCACCAAAATTATATGTGCGAAATTTCTTTTCTTGTTTTCTTTATTCTTTTATCACAATTATTTAATGCTGACTGCATTAATGAATTTTTTTTTCGTTCCTCTAAAATCAGTTTTAAAAAAAGAGTCGAATGATTTTATAAATGGAAAATTTGATGTGTAAAATATTTTGATAATAATGTCTGCCCACCCTATTTTTTCCTCCGATTGATTATATTGATCCACCAAAGCAAATTATTTTTTTTTTGTCAAAAGCATACACGCTTTAATAATCATAGGTTGAGGGCCACTATTATAGCTTCTTCTCTCATTATTAAAATTATTGTAACAAGAACCTACAAAATAAATTCATTGCAAAGGCGTTTTTTATGGAAGGATAATAATTTTTCCAAAGTATGTATTTAATGTCTGCAAGAGAAAAATCGCAAAATTTGTCATTTTTATTAACAACAATAATAATTGTACGAATAAATTATATGGATAAAAATATTTTTTGAATAATAATATATTTTGATATTTTTAAAAAATTAAATAACATTTCTAACTATCATTTATCATAAATAAAATGAATAAGGGTAATCAAGATATATATTATATAAATTCTATATTATATGTTGTTAAGTATATCAATATAATTGGATTTTGGTGAAAATAGGCTGTGAAATTAATCCTCTTGTCAATCTAATCAGTCCTGACGAAAGAAAGAAGAAATCTTCTTTGAATTTCGACAAGTAATAAAATAAATAAATTTAAATGTTGCGTGCATGATTGGTTAATTTCAATTGATTTTTGTGATACGATAATAGCCAATCGGATTTTTATATATTCTCTTTTAAAGGCCATAGATTTACGAAAATTAAACATCTATTATTACAATCAAACAAATAATTTGTAAATAAAAATCAAACCTCAAATAAATTGACAATACTTATGCTAATAATTATTATTGAGACTACCAATCATTGTACAAAATGATTTCCATGAGTAAAGTAACATTTTTATTCAGAGAATTTAGCTTGTTGGAATTCTAAGTATCATGGATTTAAGAAGTATGGGAAGGAATGTTTAATTTTTTATATGCATTAACATGTTAACAAACAGGCTCTAAAATCTTCACCAGTTGTAATCTTTATAGTAATGCTGTAATAGATATTATAACTCAACTTTGATCCAGGAACTTATAGCTAACCATATTTTGCTAGAGAGCCCATATAACTATTTTAAAAAATTTTATTTACATACACATAGCCTGCTTCCCAAATTTTTATCAGAAATATCAGAATTTACCATGTAAAATTAGCATATTAACAGATAAAAATCCAATTATTGGCTATTGAGATCTACCAATTAAAATAACTAAAATCTAGGGTTAACCAACATATATACTTTTGAAAATTGATTTGGAATACCATCTATCTAACAAAGGAAAAACTTGCAAAGTCATGAATATTCATATCATTATCATTATTCACTATTATTATTTCTTAAATATATAGTAATAGATCATTAACAAATTTGGATGTTATGACTGAAACATACATGTTAGCCAAATTGGTTTTGCATTTGCCAAATATTTTGGCCACATACTGGCTTTTCCATATTTTCTATATTAATTATCATATATACAAAAACCACCCAGAATTTTGGCTATTGAACCAAGGAATTCAAATAATTTTGGATACAATTTTGGCTAAAGCTCTGAAACAGGCCAGGCCAACCCGAAAACTTTTTGGATGTACCAATTATACTTGAGATCAAAATTATTAAATTGCAATTAAAAATCCTAAAAATTTGTATTGCACCACCTATCATAATTTTATACAATTGTTCGTGATGCAATTCTCAATTCATGGTGCAAACATGATTCATGACAATTTATTAGCTAACAAAATCTTTTTAGCTATGAAGCATTGATGT